TGTTACGGTTTTGAAAATGTTCAAATTAGTAGAATGTTTGCATCAACCCGAACATGAACCATTTAACCAACTTTGAAAACTAAAAAACTTGACTTTACCCTTGCATCGCAAATTTAGTAAATTTCATTGCATTTTCAACGCATTCTGTTCAAGAATAAAAGTTACGCCAAACAAAGGCAAAATAAACATGTGAACAAGAACCTCTGAATTGAATTATTCACCCAATTTGATAGCTGGAAGATCTCAGAGGCGTACTATGAAAATGGGGAGGATAAAGAAGCCCAGAAAACGTATAACCTGTAGATATAATCAAAATGCTCTAAATGATGATCTATTAGAAAATATTAACCACACCAAATTTCAAATTGATATCTTCAGAATAGAGCAAGATATTTCAGTTAATAGAAAAAATAATTAAGCTTGGACCCCCTGTAGCTCAGCTGATCGAAAACATGAGTCCAATTCATGTTCATATGAACTTTTTTGATCAAACTGACGAGATCTATCAACTATTTCAGTTTGTACCTTCAAACCGGAAATCATAGCTTGTCAATTCATAATAAATGCTTTTAATGCCATGTAAAATAGTCCAGCAAAATACCACTGTTCTGTATAACTTCTCATGGTTTTGTATCTCATTTGTTAACTCACTTGTGTTGTTTGGCAACATAATTTGGTGAACAATGGAGCTACAATCTCAAATATTCAGAACATTGTGATATTACTGTTGATAGTTGTTGATACCTGAGTTAGGTTAGCTCATGGGATATTTTTATTAATGAAATAACATTAGAACTAAGAATTAACTTCATTGAACACCAAGGAAGGTTCATATCATTTTCAGTATTATTGACCTATTTTCAAGAAACTAATGATTCAAGGGAAGGAAAACAGAATATGTCCAGAAAAATTAGATATTCTAACCTAAACATACTAACCTATTGGTGGAACAAGAATATATTTGAAAAAAAAAAGTTGTTCAGTGAATATAAAATATAATGAAAGAAAAACCTATTCAGTGCAGGATTTAAACAAAGGACTAAAGGATTGACAATCAAATGCATAACTCACTGTAGGCATCTTACTCACTGTGCTACTACCAAAACAAATCTGACTTTTTGAATTAATTTAGACTCTCTTGAAATAATTCACTTTGAAAAAAATTCATATTTATTAACTTCAACAGAATACAAAGAAGGCAACAAAAAAACCCATTTGTATTTTTCTCAAAAATCTTAAATAAGATGAAACATGCAGTTTTCAAAAAACAAACTGAAACTAGTGATTGAAAAGAAGCTAATGAATTCATATGCAACTTATTACTTTTTAAGAATTTTCATTAGTAAAGTTAGATTTCCCCTTGTGGGCACTCCACAGTTGTCAGCTTAGGAGGATGTTTATGATGATCAGGTTTTTGTACCACTTATCCCTATGTTTCAAGAACATCATGCCTACCTAGAGAAGATAGGGAGAGGAGGTAGGTATTGGAATCTATTTTGAACTTTTGGAGATTATATGCCATCAGATGTGGCAATATATAGAATAGGCACACATGCATATAATTGATATAGGTTACATTGGAGAAAACCCTATCTTCCTGGGGCTGTTGAACTCATCTACATCAAGCTGTGATGATAGTAATAGTGGCAATGAACTAATGTCCACAATATCTCCATTTCAATGTAATAGTGGCACAGAATCTGCATTTCAATATGATTTAGTAACCTAAGATATTACAATAATAACATGATTTGTTCCAATTGGAGATAGTTTGTATAAATTCATGACTTTTTCAAAAAAGTCATTTGAATTAATCCATGAATCATATCACTGATTTAATTCCTATGAATCAATTCCTGTCAACCCTAGATATTATTATAATTAACAGAAAAAATGTATTCTATTGAATGGTCAGCAGTCTAGAGAAAAATTAGAGCCAGGCGACTGGTCTGTAGTCTATACACTTTCTTCTGGAATCCCAATCTTATTTTACATACATATCCTATAATAATACAGGGTAACTCATGGTCGATGGTACATTAGACGTTTATGGAGAACGGGACATAGGATCATTCTGAAATTTTGGTTATTCACGTAGTTGCTCTTGGTCTATCGATCTAAAATATTTTCAGCTCTGCGGCGTTTCCACTTCTATCGAAAAGTAGCAACAACTTTGTTATTTTAAAAGGAACACCCTGTATTTTATTGCATTTTCAGATTCTCTCTGAAGAGCTGATTTCATCGATGTATCACACTTGGGGTCTAGCGGATATGATTACAGAGATATAGGGTGTGAAAAATCGACATTTTACAACTTTAGGAATTTTTTTTGTCAAAACTATTCATTATTGGTCAACACGGCTCACATGTCCCTATCTCAACTTTTGATCGACTATCTACTGACATTTAATTGAAACAAATACAGGGTGGTGCAGAATTCAGAATCTTGATCACCCGGTATATGTCCCAATTAAATATCAGTGAATAGTTAATCAAAAGTTGAGATAGGGACATGTAAGCCCTTTTGACCAATAATGAAGTTTTGAAAAAAAAAAGTTGAAAAATGATGATTTTTCACACCCTATATCTCTGTAATCATTTCCGCTAGACCCCAAGTGTGATACATTGATGAAATCAGCTCTTCAGAGAGAATCTGAAAATGCAATAAAATACAGGGTGTTCCATTTAAAATAACAAAGTTGTTGCTACTTTTCGATAGAAGCGGCAACGCAGCAGAGCTGAAAATATTTTAGATCGATAGACCAAGAGCAACTACGTGGGTAACCATATTCAGAATGATCCTATGTCCCATTCTCCATAAACGTCTAATGTACCATGGACAGTGAGTTACCCTGTATACATACATACATACATACATACACGAGGGGAAATTCGCTGAGGAATTTTGGTGTACACTTGTGTGGAATTACGAGGAATTACAGTGGAATTGCATGGCATTGCCAGGAATTGCGAAGCATTACGAGGCATTGCGAGGAATTGCGTGGCATTACGAGGAATTGTGTGGCATTACGAGGAATTGCGTGGCATTGCAAGGAATTATGATGCATTATAGTATGAATTGCGCATGCGTTAATATCTCGATTACGTCATCGCTTGCCACGTGTTACAAGTTGTGCTAACGGAAAACGTGAAATCATGGAAATCCTTCAGTAGACTGTTAGCTAGGTTAGGAAAAAGACATCACGATATTACACATATGCTGTTCTGGTATCAGATGTGCTCTGAAATAAACAAGGCAAGCGACTAATAAACGTTATTTACTCGGTTATTTATTTTGGTTGTTCTTATTTTGGGTGTTATTGTAGAAGTTTTATCATAAAGAGTTAATTAGTCCTTCAGTTAATTAGGTTGGTATTTACTAGATATACAGGGTATCCGGAGATAACGACAAAACTCGTGGGGTTATATAGGAACTGCCAATATGATTGCAAAATGCCATGTATACAAATAATGTCCAAAACCGCTTCGTTACTGACATACAGCGTGATTTGTTAGTTTGGACAACAAATTAAATCCTCCATATTAAATGCCGATTTGGGTTAACTTTGGTATTTTAATCAAACTGAAAGGCCTTAACAAGTAGCCGTTTGAAGAAACCAATATCAGGACCGGAGTATTCTCTTTTTATCATGTTGAGTTACTTACCCTGTATAATAATTATCAAAAATCTGATCTCAGATTCAAATTCTACATAAAAATACTAATTTATCAGCGTTTATTAGTAAGCAAATATAATCCACAAACGATTCAGTCAATTCCTTTTTGAAAAAGTTTCTTTTAGTTTTTTTTTAGTATAGATTTCAAATCTTTGAGTTTGTTCTCTTAATTATATTGATGATTGTTTTACTAGGTCAATTATTCTTACAAGAACTGAACATAATTAAGATTCATCCCGGCCTTGATACGAATTTTGTATCAAGTTTTTTTTGGTAAGTACTTCATCAGACAATTAAATTCTTCCAGTGAAAAAATTGAAAATACCTAATTTATTACGGAATAACTGAAATGGTACCAGAAACTTTTTCAACAAGTTCCTGTAGGATTTTTCCCGTAAATTTTCAATCTGAGATCAGATTTCCGATCATTTCTATACAGGGTGAGTTATTCTTACAAAAACACAACATAAAAAAATATTCTGATCTTTATATTATTCATTATACAGTGCAGACTCGATAATCCGAACTAATAAAAACCAAGGCGATTCGGATTACCAAAATATTCGGATTACCGAAGCAGTTTTTTTTTAAATTTTTTATTACGAAATGCAAAAAAAACATAAATACGACGAAAGTAACACTAAAATATGCATAAAAGTAAGAATATAATACTAGTTTCTAAAGTAATTTGTAATTTTTGTTTGCTCAACACATCTTTGATTATTTATAAAGGCCATTTCTTTTAATCTTTGAAGTATGTACAAGAATATCATTTAACGGAATATTATTTTCTTCCTTGCGTAATGTGAATCCCAGATACTAACAAAAGAACAATTAGGGGAATCCCTGAACATTTCACTCACAATATCTATAGGAAATAAATAGGCCTAAAGGTATAGGTTCGAATTATCCAGTACTATGAAATTCGGATTATAGAGTACTCAATGTATTAAAAATGCTTGTTCGGACTACTGAAGAATTCGGATTATTGAACGTTCGGATTATCGAGTCTGCACTGTATCAGAATGAATATGAGGAATTGCAACGAATTGCAGTGGAATTGCAAGGAATTGCAAGGCATTACGGGGCATTGGGAGGCATTACACGGCATTGGGAGGCATTACACGGCATTGGGAGGCATTACGGGGCATTAGGAGGCATAACGAGGCATTACGAGGAATTATGAGGCATTACTAGTCAATATAGTGAATTAAGAAGCATTATTTTGGCATTGAGGAATTAGTGTACATCATTCTGCTCAGCGAATTGCCCCTCGTACATACATACTTGCATTGTGGAAAAAAAAGTGCCAGTAATACTCACTGCTCCATCTTCAGACTGAAGTTTGGTTCCTAGTGCCAGGCCAACAACACTGATACCATGTTGTCTTCCCCTCAATTTTTGTATTTCTTTCATTTCATGCAATTTCGAACTGTAATTTGTAGAAGCAATTCAAGCATTTCCATTCACTTACCCAATAACTTAGGTACCTACCTGACTGCATCTAATTCCTCATCATCACTTTCTTCTATCTTGATTCTATGTCCACGGTGATTTCTTCGTTTGGTCCTGAAAGACTCCCTTGATTCCTCTGTATCACAAGGTTTATCCATATTTGTTTATGATTAATTCATAAATTCATGAACGAATGGAATATTATCAAATTAATATGGAAGAAGGCCTATAACTTGAAATTACCATTCTGCATTCTCAAAATTCTCAGAAAACTTGAGGAAAATCAAAATACAAAATAATTCAAAACAAACGTCAAAGTATCAGCAATCGTCATTGTCAAATATGAAATATCTCAAGTCAAATATCAACACATTCGTGAAAAGTTGACGTTCCAGGGCGGACTGTAGAGGGGTGTTGGCTCCATTGGAACATTTTTCTCGATCTTGCTGAAAAAACATGATTGAATATCGATTCCTCAGATCACAGGGTCCCTTGACGGAAAATGACGTTGAAGTCATCTCAACAGGATACTACGAAAGCGTAGAAGCGCCAACTGATATATATTTTTTATTAATTGACAGATATAACTGTCAACTAGCATACTTGACAGATACTAAATGATAAGTAGCATACTTGACAGATACTTAAGTGTCAACTAGCCAAATTGACAGATACTAAGTGGTAAGTAGCATACTTGACAGATACTAAGTGGTAAGTAGTATACTTGACAGATACTAAGTCGTAAGTAGCATACTTGACAGATACTAAGTGGTAAGTAATATACTTGACAGATACTAAGTCGTAAGTAGCATACTTGACAGATACTAAGTGGTAAGTAGTATACTTGACAGATACTAAGTCGTAAGTAGCATACTTGACAGATACTAAGTGGTAAGTAGTATACTTGACAGATATTTAAAAGTCAACTAGCATAATTGACAGATAGGCCAAGAAACTGGCCATCGCCAAGAAACAAAGAAGATTAAGAAGAAGAAGAATACAATGCCTACATAACCCTAAAACGCCTTGGCAAAGGAGATTTGACAAAACATTGCATACTGCTGAAGACGAAAAACGTTCACGCTCATAGTTTTGAAATTCCGTGAAATTCAATTCACATGTGAAATATTTCGATTTTAAATTCGTCACCTAGATTCAATACCTAGTTTTCAATATCAGTGAAATGAAATTTTGATGAATTCGCTTCATCGAATTAAATTCGATTGGTTCAATCTGACAACAGTGGATATGATATCTATTGGCAAGGTGACAGGTGACGATTCCGATACGGCACCTGGTGGGCAAATTTGAACCAGTTTAGGACGTAATTCAAGGTCATGTTTGTTGTGTTCAGTGGGTTTCATATTTTATGAATACCATTCAACAAATTTACGTTAATTTTCTCTTCTTGCGTCTCTTGAGTACAAGACATGAACTTTATATCAATTGCCTAATCAATTCTATATTATTTTATAAATTAGTATCAACAAATCTCTGATAATACGCGAAATCAACTGTGTTTGGTTGCTGGTTGAACTAGTAGAAGGTTCCAATGGATGTAGGACCTATAATATGTCCTCTAATATGAATTTCTTCCACTCAAGAAGTCTTTTCTGATAATGAAAAATAAGTTCAGCTGAATGGAAAAAATGGATAAACGTTGAGAATCCAATATTAGTTTGAAAACTGGATGTATGCAGCTCCAACAAAAACTTCCTACCTTTCTTCAATTCATTGGTCCAATAATGATAACAATAAGGTAAATTTGTGATTCATTGATATTATTATATTTATTACTGATGAATAACTTTTATTTGCAGTGCCTATCTGAGAGAGAAAATGAAATGATCAACAGTTTCATAACTATTTTGTTTATAGGGGAAATGTCTCCAGGACTTGGAAAAATGAGTATGGTTATTTTTCTTTCAAATATTTTTATAAGAAAATTAGAGAAGCAAATTCAATGCCTTTGACTTTCGAACTGCAATACACAAAGCTGGGCAAGAAAACAGACACTATAAACATGTGCAGGTGGGTAATTTATGGTTTTATTTGTAATGCTTGACTCATATAAAAATCTTGTTCATGACATCCTGCCTGGGCCTCCATAGATTCCTATTTTGTAGTAAAATAGCCAATGTAGATTGCATGTACTTCAAAAATGATCAAGTTGAAGTTGAGTTGAAATACAGCTCCCAATTACATTCATATGAGCAAAAACAGTAGCATATTTTATAGATATATAATAACCCTGGTACAAGCAGGTCATTGTAGGTAGCTTACTTCATAGCTTGAATTGCTGGAATTGAATCTTTGAACATACATTGAAGTGACACAATCTAATAGATATGGTTTGTTTATAGTAGGTACTAACATTTCTTAAATTTTTCAGCAGGGGAGGAGTTGCCATCCAGGGTATCTTACAATTGAGTGCAAATAGTTACACAAATTGAAACCAAAACCTAGATTCCTTGAAGTTGAATTCAAGTTTTTAAGGAGATATCACTGATTATTTGGGTACTTGAACATATCCATGACATTTCAAATTGTATCTTGGAAAGATGTATCCATAATTTTACTGCTTGTATGTTATTATTAAACTGTATTTATTCATAAGTAAAAGTTCTACTTTTTTTTTCTGTTTTGTAATGTTTTATTGTAGGTTTTCAAAATTCATATTTCAATTCCACAACTACCTCAATCAACACCCCATTCTTTTTTGATGCAATTTCAGAGTTTCACTTTATAATCTTCACTGATTCCTTTTAAAATAGGTACCTACCAGGTAAATACTTACTTTTGCTCATTGTTGATTCATTTATACATATATGAAAGTCCTGGATTTCAAAATCATTCATAATTGTAAATTTTCATGAAGGTATCTTGTAAAATAATTCAGGGAAAAACAGTATACATGAGCACTGAGGGAAGGAGTATACTATCCATTTGTAGGTACTTCTTTCTGGACTTCTTTGGAGTGGCATAAGTACAGAAAAACACATTTTATGTCAATGTACTTTCATTTTCGAAAATTATTATTAATTCAGTTCCAAAATATACAAAACATAATGAACTATACAAATTGATAAGATAGATATTTTCAATTAGATGAATTTAGGATTACAAAATGATATCAAATCACAAAATGTATGATATACTGTGTAAATACATCAACTGAAATCCTAGGTCATTTGATCAATGTTTTATGTGGTGGAATTCCAAATTATTCAATGATTTCATCAATATGGTAAAAAAAACTAGCTTTACAAGGTATTAAATGAATTCCAAGAAGAAAACTCAGTCTAGGATGCCACCTACCTCAACTCTAAGTATATTAGGAATATTCACATTATGAAAAGTGTGTTATATGGATACAATTCACACACATGGTACATAGGATCATGACAATTTGCTGTTATTGCAGTGGAGCACCATAATATATGAGGTATGGGAGTTGCACTGTAAACAATCCTCAAAGCCTGGAAGTAATATTGTTGAAGATAGGCCATTGATGGTTGTATCTACTATCATCTCCACAGTAATGTCAGGATGTCTTTGGTGTTGAATTATTTCTTGGTTTAGACTCATTAGACTGATTAGAGCTGGTTGCTGCTGATTTCTATTGTATGGATCAATTGCACATGATTCTGATGGCTATAATATTTAGCACAAAATAGTTCAATAGGTTAACACATTGTTTAGGGATGGTTTTCAATATGTTCACAAAAGGCTGTTCACTGTTGAAAAACTCCACTCCTGGTATCACCATTTGTGGTCTGAAGGGTCCTTTTGCTTGAAGAGTGGAGTTATAGAGGTATGATGGTGAATATATCAGCTTCTGATGATAGTGGATATGCTTGTGATTCTTGATATCCCATAAAGCTGTCCCACAGAAATGCACTGGTTTGAAGAAAGCTCAGACTATTTGGTCCACGATTCAGTCAGTAGTAGGTAACAGTTATTTTCCTCACATCACGATGAAACAGTATGATCCAACAAAAAATATTATGATTTCAGTAAAAAGTTCAACAATAAACACAAATAACACGATGAAATATCAAGAAGAAAATGTATGCAAATCTCAAGAAATTTTGTAAACAAACAACACACTCTTTGCCGCCATCTTGTTTTGAAACAGCGCCCCCAACGGTCGATCACCTTGCCAATTCTCCGTAGTTTGTGCCTTTACTCTAAGGTTTGTGAAAACAAGACGAAGAATTTCTATGGCTGAACACTAAATAAGGTTAGAAATGTTGAATGTTTAAGGTTATGTATTCGCAGAAAATGTCTGAAACAAAATCTAAAAAGCGACTATTCATCAATAAGCAACAAAAGGAAGCCTTGATTAATTTTATCGAAGCCAACCCCATAATAAAAAACCCAACCAAGCTGTCAAACAAATTTTCAAAAAAAGATATAGACAATTTATGGAAACAGTTAGCAGATACATTGAATGATTTGGGAAAGATTACAGGAGGTTCTATCAAGGATGCCCACATGTGGAAGAAGGCAAGTATGAAAAATTCATAATACCTATCTATATATAGTTATTTTATATAATACACCCCCATATAATTTTACTATATATTTCTAGACATGGCAAGACTTGAAGGCCAATATGAAAAAAAAAGTGTCAGAAACGAAGAAACATGCCACTGCCACTGGAGGTGGCCCTCCAATAGAAGAAAAAGAAGAATGTGATACTTTTGATGTAAAAATTCAAAATATGATTGAAAGTGTGGAAATTGAAGGTGACAAAAGTATTATGGAGTCAGAAGTGATATTCGAAAATGAGGATATATTTTTGCAAAATATTCAAATAGAAGAGCCAGTATCAACTATTGAATTTGATCATCACTACTTCAAACAAACTGATGAAAATACTCTCCCAACCTCATCTCCAAGTAAATCTAAAAAAATAGAGAAATCCAAAGTGCCTACAGAAAAAGCACCAACAAAATCTAATAGGTTAATTGCAGCTTTGAAAGTATCTGATAAAATTTCTGACGAAATATCAGAAAAAACTAGTTTAAAGCGTGAATACTATAAAAGTAAAATTGAAATTTTGAAAGAAAGTTTAGGAATAAAAAAAGAAAAATTAGATTTGAAAAGGGAACATGTCAAAGTTGAAAAAGAAATAGCAACAGCTTTGAGAGAGATTGCCCAATATCTCAACACTACTGCATCTATCAATTATGAATAATGATTCTCAATGTCAATTACTGTTTTGTCATATGTTTTATTTTCAGTGTGAGTTGTGAAATTTGTATTCATGAACAAAATATCCAAAATGTGCAACTTTATAAGAATTTAGCTTTATTTTAAGGATTGAAAATC